GAATAACCTTATATCTTTATTATAAATGAAAAATCTGACAGTAATAATAGAGAACAATTATTGAGCTTTTACTATGTGCCAGGTATTACCTCATTTAACTGACATGATCTTATTTAGTCTCATAACAACACTGTGACGTAAATATTATTATTCCTGTTTCACAGATGAGAAACTGATGCAGCGAAGTCAAATGACTTGCCTAAAGCTCTGGAGTTAATCAGTAGGTAAGCAAGGATTCCTTATCTGTCTTACCTTATGCCAAGTACATGTCCTTAGCCCATTATGCTATTCTGCTCTCCCTGCTTTGTAATTTACACAAGGAGGAACTAGTTATTAATGGCTTTTCATTTAATTCTTGATTTCCTGGTCAAGGGTTAACTGCTTTGAGGGTTAGTTCTGGTTCAGCAGACCCCTAAACTCAGTAATTAGGCAGGCCCTGAGTCAAGAGGGTTACTATGCAGCCTCCCAGCCCCCTTCCCAGGCCAGCAATCAATACCCTCATTACCTAGCCCTTTCTGAAGGAAAATGGGAAGATACCCCAAAACTCAGTGTACTTTAACCATGATTAATCTGCACCCAGATAACTTTTCATTTTGCAAAAACAGTGATGTGGGGAGTTTTCCAAGACCTCTTTCTAACCCTCATTCTGTGTTAATCAAGAGTTGACTGAGTAAACAATGCTGAACTATCACTGAATTGCTGATAATTAGCATTTAAAATTTCCAATTATATATATATATATCTTATTAGGTTCAAGTGGCTACTAAAATTAACTTCAGACTGGTCAGAGTTATTCCTTCTTTGATCCCTAGAATGACAAAGTATTTATTAGCTGAAAAGAACTTGGGACATTATCTGGTACAATTTCTCATTTCATAAAAGTGGAAAGTGAGGACCAGAGAAGTTGGGGACCTTCTCCAGTATCACACACTGGGAGTAGCAAGGCCAAGACTAATAATAACCCAAGGTGTTTTGTTTGCCATAATGTTCAATTCTAACTGCCTTACTCCTGCCAAAATTCCGTCAACTTTCAGTGTTATTAGCCATTTTTTATAGCTAAGACTCTAATAGTTAAGACTCTATTATTTTAACTAGAGTCAATATGTTTTCTTTCATGTAACTAGTCTAAGAAAAATTTATCTTCATTCCACCTACTGGCGATTTTCCCTTCTAAAATGTGAAAAGAAGCAGGGGTCAGAAGGAGAAAGGAAACAAAACTACAGGATGCTTTTTTCAGCACCCTGTAGTGACAAACAGAAGTCAAGGGAATAATACCCTAAAGTACCTACAGCCAGGATCTTCAAGAACTTTGGACACCCCAGGCTTCTTAAATCTGGGAACCATGCACTGTCCTAGAGATCTCTGACTCCAGGAGAGGATTCAGGGTGAACACGAGAAGGAAGCAATTCTTAGAGAGACCTGGGGATGAGACTAACACTGCATGGAATTCAGGTGATGCTGGGTAAGAGAGACAGGGCAAGGATTTCATTGGATATAATTGGTTGAGTGGAAATATGCTTGGTTGGAATTCTAATCGCACCCCTTCCATGCACACATCTGGAGCAAGTCAACCTCTGAATGCTTTCTTCTCTGTGAGGTGGAGATGGCTATCGGCCCCACCTGACATAACTATAGCCAAGTCCAGTTGCAGAAATGTTTGTGAAAGGGCTTTGTAAAGTGTTGTGCTATAGAAACCATATCACAATTTATATTCATTTACTGCTTCACTTCCTAATGTTCCAATAAAGGGTAATAGTTACATAAATAATAGTAAAAAAAAATCCTGGCTTTAATCTACATTTAAACATTTAAATTCATGTGCATGTAAATAAAATGCAAATAAAATATATGTTGGTTTATACACATTTAAACAGATATAAAAGGGCTGTGGAGTAAAGAGCTTTGGATCACAGCCATGCCTTTAACTTGTTTGATTCTCAGGTTCCACATTTATAAAAGTAGTGTAACATTGGTGTCTGTCTCATAGGATTACTGGGAAGAACATGAGTTGGTGCATATAAATACTTAGAACAATGACTGGCACATAGTAAGGCCCAAGTTAATTAAGTGTTTGCCCTATTGTCATTATAGTTAGAACCACAAATGGAAGCATCACTGCCATCTGGTGGCTGCCCACCTCAATTCTATTGTAGAAATCACAACCAAGGAAACTGAAGTACCGGCAAATATCCTACTTTGAACAATTCACTTATACTCACTGCCTTAAGGACACATCTGTAAAACAGGGGTCACATTTGTCCTAACAATTGCATCGGGCTATAAAGTAAAAGGTAAAATGAACTTAGGAAATTCAGAAATTCTTTATACTAACCAGACGTTCAGTGCTTTCTAGAGGCTAAAAGCTTTACGTTAGTCCAGGTTCAAGTTCTAGGCACTGTTAATACAATAAACAATTTTACGCACAGTGTTGACAACTGTTAGTGGTAGTGAGCACAAACAATGATTAAAACACGCATGTGGTAGTAAATAATTCAAATAAAACACATGTCTACAAACAGTACTTCTACTAACTGAAGCCTTATTTGACCCACCTTTCCAGCAGTTTCCAGTTCTTTTTTATCTCTTTTGGCATTTCCAGCCAACATTTTCATTTCAACAATTCCTGATACAGCAATAATTGGGACAACCGATAGCAGCAAAAGGGTTAATTGCCAACCGTAGATAAATGATATGATAATACCAGTTCCAAGGTTGGCTGTGTTCTGTGCAATTAAAGCCAACCTGGTCCCTGTGGCCTGGAAGAAGCAAAAGCAGACAGGCAGTTGTGTTGGAAGCGTCAAATCCACGAGCTGCAGCTTTAGGCTTCCGGGTCACAATGATGAACGAGTTTGGAGCCCGCACCCAAATTTGTTCCCCTTCATTACAATAAACCCAAGACACTTGTGCTTAACTCATGAAGCTCTGAAGCTTTTCCTTTGTTCATGCCTTTCAACTCTCATTCCTTCCTGCCCACATGAACTCAGCATTACGGAACCGAGTCATCAGCTGCTCAGCTTTGGGGACAGGCTGTGAGGTACATGCCCTTTCTCTCCAAGGCAACGTTTACAGAGGAAACTAACCCCAGTGTACTCTGGTCGTTTTAAAAGACCATTTGCTTCCAGTATGTAAGAGGGAAATTTTACATACTCTTAAGACAGCGGTTCTCAACCTTCCTAATGCCGCGACCCCTTAATCCAGTTCCTCATGTTGTGGTGACCCCCAACCATAAAATTATTTTCATTGCTACTCTATAACTGTAATTTTGCTACTGTTATGAATCGTAATGTAAATA